GAACTTTACCTTTTATCGATGATCTTCTCTTTTTCTTTTTCAATGATCTTCTCTTTTCTCTTAACCCTCCATCTGCAATATTTTTTTCTTTTTATTTCATTTAACTTTTTTCGGCAGACACTCTCAGGAATCTTGTGTATGAAACCATTTGAAACGTAAGAGCTATATTTAGGAACTAATTGCTTTTGGAAAAAGGAACGAGGAATGTCGATACGCGACGTGAACTTGACTACCCCACTCTAGGTATTTTCGATGGTCATTACAATAAAGTAAACTCTTACTCAGTAAACTCTTACTCAGTAACTATTTTTTCTTTTTATTTCATTTTACTTTTTTCGGTATTAATCCCTTTTTGAAATGGATTTTTAACCCTTAACTACAGATGACCGGTATTTTTTACCGGTAAGCATTTACGATTTTTCAATTTCGGGGATAACTGAATATATTTTGCTTAAAAAAAAAACTTGTGCGGTTTTATCAAAATAAATGGTTTTAAAACTTTTTCAAGATCTTGATATACAATAAATATATAACAGATATATATTAAAGAAATTTTTCAATTGTTTTACAGAAATTTTATGTATTTTATATAACCGGTAAAAATTACCGGTGGTCTGTACTAACGTTCGTATAATTTGACGTCTGTAGTTAAGGGTTAAATATATTAATTTTTTTTTTTTTTTTGGTTTTTACTTAGATTACTTTTTTTCATTCCGAGTCTTAATCATGACACAATCTTTAAAGAAAAAATTACACTTTTCCGATATCCTAAAATTTCAAAATCCTTTGGCAATCCAATTTCTTTCACTTTCTTATGATATCCTCCTTCTAATTGTTATCGTTATAATAATGTTCTATCTTCATAATTAACCCCAACCATTTTTTTTTCTTTTTATTTCATTTTAATTTTTGACTGATCTTCACTCCAGGAAAATCTATTTTTAAAAAGCATCTTCTAATATATTTTTTCTTTTTATTTCAATTTACTTTATTTTCATTTCTAGTATTTTTTTTAAAAAAATCGTACCTTTTCAATACCCCCAAATTTCCAACATTTTTGGCCACCAACAATTCTTGCACTTTTCTTCTTTTGCGCTTCCCTTTTTCAAATTCTCTGCACTGTAACTCGTAGTAATTTCTGACACAGTCCACCAACACATTAATAGGTACACAATGCTAAGCAGGCAAATAGCTAGACCAGAAAGTTTTGTTGTAACAAAAACCCACCGGATTTCCGTAAAACAAAAAAAAAACTCACTATCAACTGTTAAGCGGCTGGCGGGCTGGCGGGCTGGCTGGCTAAGTTGGTTTGGTTGTTTAACTTGCTCGATTTCTTCATCAAGCACACACACAAGAAAAAACACTCATTTCTGTTCCGAACATGCAAGAAACGCTTCTGGGCTTCTCCCAACATGTGTGCGGTTCTTTGAAGAAGAAACAAAAACGCGTCCCTCCAACCAACTAATAGTCCACTTTGGCTAAATACAAAGGCAGAAATTGTGCATTAGTTTCAGCGGACATGCACACACACCACATCTTCACAGCTAACATGGGAGCGGCGTTATATATTTTCTTCTTCATGACTAGCAAATGGTTTTTATTATTTCTCTGTTTTTTGCTCTTCCCTTTTTTTTAGCAGAGCTTCTTTAATTCCATTTGCTTGTTTTACGACCTACTCGCTCTAGCTCGCAGTACTGAGCTGGCAACTGGAAATGACCCATAAAAATCGTGGAAGCAAAGAATTAAAATGTGCTCACCACAATTACCAGTTAGGGGAGGAGGGGTAGGGTAGGGTCACTACCAAAACTCCCATTGCAAAGTGACCTATTTAATTTGAAAAAAAAATAAAAATTTGGAAATTCCATTAAAGATATGGGAATTATTTTAAACAGACATTTATTTAACTTCTTTCGGAACACAATACGTAAGTGCTTCCCTGGAAGCATTTGAACCTCATTTTAACAAAAAAAATATTTTTATTTTTTATTTATATTTTCTTAAATATTTAGAGCCTTTTCAACAATCTCTCAATTGCAAAGAAATTGTAGAAATAGGTATTTAATTAAATTGCTTTAAAAGTAAGGGGTTACCTAAGTGATTCTAGAGAGGCAATTGGATACCCGATATTGGTGTTGAATTTTTTTCTTTTTATTTCATTTTACTTTTTCAAATTTAAAGTTCTCTAAAAGTGTTTGTAGAGAGGCAATTGGTTGGTAGATTGAATTTTTTTCTTTTTATTTCATTTTAATTTTTCAAAATTGAGTTCTGAAAAAAAACTCTCTTTTGCAAAGAACTCAATTCACGAAATAAAATTATGTTTCCTTAAAATTATGGCTTAGAAAGCGCTACCAGGGCAGCATTTCTTGATATTTTATAATACCTTTAACTTAGTAATAATTCAGAGGCCTACATCTCCCATACCCACTACTTTCAGCATTTCTTTCAAATTATTCTTAAAATAAAATAAGGTTTGAAATAAATTCCGAAAATGGTGAGCTTGGGGAAACTTCTGAAGGAAAGTCTTCAAAGTGAGGTGTTACCTAAGTGATTCTAGAGAGGCAATTGGATACCCGATATTATTGTTGAATTTTTTCTTTTTATTTCATTTTAATTTTTCAAATTTAAAGTTCGGAAAAAGGCAATTGCATGCCTGATATTGATGTTGATTTTTTTCTTTTTATTTCATTTTAATTTTTTAAAGTTTGGATGCTGTAAAATAACTTTAGTTTGCAAAGAACTAAATTCACAAAATTAAATTAATTTTCCCTTAAAAATATGGTTTGCAGAAGACCTTCCCGGGCAGCATTTCTTGATATTTTGTAATACCTTTAACTTAGTAATAATTCAGAGGCCTACATCTCTCATATCTTCTATTTCCAGCATTATTTCAAATTAATCTTAACCCTTAACTACAGACGTCAAATTATACGAACGTTGGTACAGACCACCGGTAATTTTTACCGGTTATATAAAATACATAAAATTTCTGTGAAACAATTGAAAAATTTCTTTAATATATATCTGTTATATATTTCTTGTATATCAAGATCTTGAAAAAGTATTAAAACTATTTATTTTGATAAAACCGCACAAGTTTTTTTTTAAAGCAAAATATATTATATTTATATTATATATATCTCCGAAATTGAAAAAGTGTAGTTAAGTGTAGTTAAGGGTTAAATCAAATAAAGTTTGGAATAAATTCCAAAAATGGTGAATTTTGGAAACTTCTGAAGGGAAATCTAAATATATCCCAAATTTGACTAAATATATAATGATGTTACCGAAGTGCTTCAAAAGAACCACTTTGGACATTTAGGAAGTGAATACACATATCTTTAGAATGGTTTCTTCACATCCTCCTTGATCTCAGATAAAGAAAAGGTCTTAGAAGAAGTTCCGGAAGTAAAATATTTCCAAGATATCTCAATACGGAAAAATTGGAACAGAAAGGCTTCAACGAAATCCTGAATTAGGCTTGGGCAAAGACTTTAATAGGAAATTCTTAATAGGACCCATATTTGGGAAAGAAATTGAATAATGCTATAGAAGTGCTTCACTGGAAGCATTTTTAGAAACAGAGCCTAAAAGTACTTTAAGAATATAAATACTCTGTTCAATATTTTGAAAAAAGATCAGATAGAAATAAATTTCCGAGAAACCTCAATCTGGGGAAAAATTAGAATGCCATAAATATTGTATAGAAAACGATCTGAAAGAAATTCTGAAAAAGACTTAGGGAAACCTTTATAAAGTAAAAACTAATTTGTACCAATAGTTGATAAAAAAGATCGAACGATGCTTACAGAAGTTATATTCGCAGATGAGTATTCCTTCAAATAAACCGACGATTCCTATAGATTACAAGTCTTAATTATTAATTTTCTTCTCTTTACTTTACCACTTTGCCAATTGCAATTCAAAACTTAAACTGTATGGACTGGCCTTCTACTCACTCGTATTTATAGCTTCCCTTCTCTGGATGCGATTTTCGGTTATCCTGGTTATAGTAAAATATTCCAAGGGAATGGCGACCACAACCATTCATCCAAGTACGTATACAAATAAACGAATGCCTATAAACAACAAAGTAAAACAACAATTACAAATACGAGTGAGTGAGAACAACAACAACGATTGATGGCATCACAATGAGAACTATAAAGCTAAGACTGATACATATCATGGTTAAAAAAAAAAATAACATTAGAACAGTGTTGGCTTGTTTGTTCGGGATACCATAGTATTTCATATTGTTTCAAAATGGTCAGGCTTAATCCCTTTACTTTGGTTTTTATAAAAACAACGTTTGTTTATTAGTGGATAACGATGGTAATGTTTACCAGGTGATATTCTCCCCAGAAGTTATTTTAAAAATAACTTCTATGACAAAAAAAAATTGCCCCCCAGAACATTACAATCGTTCTCCACTAATAAACAAACGTTGTTTTTATAAAAGCAACATTAAAGGAATTGAGCCTGACCATTTTGCAACAACAATAAATAATACTTTTAAAATATTTTTTTTTTTATTTTAATATTTTCAGAAAATTTTTTCACTAGGAATATAACTTTAAATGCAAATATATTAAATTGTTTATTTGTTTACCAGGGGGTAAGGCAGGGAATACGTAGGTTTCGGAAAGACCGACCAATCCTCATCAGTTCCCTTGTTTTTTTTTTTTTTGTCTGGGATATTCTCCCCAGAAGTTATTTTAAAAATAACTTTTATTACACGAAAAATTTTTGCCCCCCCAGAACATTATCATCGTTCTCCACTAATAATAAATAAACGTTATTTTTATAAAAACAACATTAAAGGGATTAAGCCTGACCATTTTGCAACAACAATAAATAATATTTTAAAATATTTTTTTTTATTTTAATATTTTCAGAAATTTTTTTTACTAGGGATATAACTTTAAATGCAAATATATTAAATTGTATTTTTATGTTAATAATTACTAATTAATTTCTTTTGATTCTCTTCTCTCTTGCAGAATTTCCAAATATTCGGGTAAGTCTAAAATGAAATGGAAAATAATTTATAAAATTAATTTAAGGTTATTTTTGAATGGCATTAAATTAGAGGGAAATTTTAAATGTGTTGGACTTTAATATGGACTTTATTCCTGGTGTTTTATTTTAAAAAAAATATGAAAAATAATTTATAAAATTAATTTTAAGTTATTTTTAAATGACATTAAATTAGAGGGAAATTTTAAATGAGTTGGAATTTAATATGGGCTTCTTTCCTGGTGCTTTTATTTATTTATTTATTTTTATTTATTTTTTTTTTTTTTTTTGTTTGAAATATTTTTTGTAATTTTTTTTTTTTTGGAACTGCCATTCTTTGCCCAATTTTATGACATTTCCATTAAGAAAAAATGTTAATGAAAATATTTTTTTCTGTATTTTTACAACGCCAACATGTAAAACATATTAAAGAGAACTCACAACATTACACAGCCATGAGACAACCCACATGGCCATATGCTTAAGACCTTATGGCACTGAAAACTAGTGGTTATTTTTTTTAGTGGCAGACATGTGGTGGATGCATTATGGCTGGGTTTTTATGAATGAATGAATGAATGGCTTGTAATGTTCCCCGCTCTTGCTTCGGATGGCAAATCTAGATATGCTAAGTAGTTGACAACCACACAGCCGTAGTAAATGTAGTAAAATAAAAAAGATCGGAATATGAAAATAATCTACACCTCCATTGGAAAATAAAACGAAAATTTACAATGTGTAAAAACGCCCAAGTCGAAACAAAAAATTCTGGCTTACCTCGCTTAAATAGACGCCTTTAGAGATCGAGCTGTCAAAAATTATTTGTTTGGCTGCAGAAATGACACGAACTGCAGTTCGATACTTGAATTTATCTGTGAAATGTCAACAACTTAATAAGACAGCACAGCACAGTCATGGTACAGCATTTGCTGCCACCTCCACCGCCGCCACACCAAAAGCCAAGCAACAGGTTGAGGTTGGAGCCCCCTCACTTGTTGCGGCCCACATAAAACTATGTTTGGTGCATGATAACGAAATTGGTTTTCTTGTTTTTTGTTTTCTGTTTTTTCGATTTCGTTTTGGCTTGAGTTTCCTGAGTCTTCTATTATTATTATTAATTATTTATATTTAAATATAATAATTACCCATTGATTTCTGTTGTTGTCTTTGGTTCAAAGACCTTTAATTATTGATTGAACAATACGGAAATTTTTGCTATTAGAAACAGAGATGTTTTTTTCGGTTTGCAAACAAATAAAACACTTGAGCTCGAGCTTTATTTTTTGTGCATAACTAATTAAGCATTTAAATGCAACCTGGAGTTGTTTTTGTTAAAAATTAATAGAGAAAAAAAGAGGTGTGCACGATAGAACATAATTAACAATTATATACTTAAGATCATTTGTCTTCATCTCGTGCTAGGTGACCTTGGAGAGCATGTGAAAAATGACGGGAAATTAATGTCAACGAACTTTGAGGAAATCAAATTTTGCAGAACCAAAAAAATTGAGCTCATGATTTAAATTTTATAAAAAAAAACAATATTAAAATAAGAGGTGTACTGAAGTCCTGATAAACCTGAAAACCACTGCTCTATTTGAAAAGACAAGAATAATTGTGTGACTGCGATTGGGTTAAGTTAAATAAGTTTTCGTATTACTTCAGGAAAATCCTTTTTTAAAATAAAATATAACTGATTCTGCTCTCGCCCGGAGCGGGAGTTTTTCTCTTTTAATTTCGACATTTTTGTACTTCGAGCCGGATTTGATTTAAACGATGTCTGAAGTCCTGATATACCTATTCGAAAAGACAAGAATAATTGTGTGACTGCGATTGGGTTAAGTTAAATAAGTTTTCGTATTACTTCAGGAAAATATATATATATTTTTTTTAAATAAAATATAACTGATTCTGCTCTCGCCCGGAGCGGGAGTTTTTCTCTTCTAATTTCGACATTTTTGTACTTCGAGCCGGATTTCAACATTGTATCTAAATCCTAATGAAGCGTTCATGCTTCTGAAGCTCCATTCGAAGTTTTTGCATCAAATTTTCGGTAGTTTTGGGTTTGAAGTTATTTGCATATACTTTTAATTTTAAATCCTCCATTGGGCCGTAATTGGGGCACATTGGGTGGATTTTCTTCTTTACATACATATAGAATTTGAAGGGTGGAGGAATCCCAGATCGGGTCAGTAGATTACATTTAAATTTCTATGCTTCTTAGGGTGCAAGTACATAAAAAGCTTGAAGTCATGGCTAGGCATATTAATGACAAATTATAATGGAAAACGGCGGCAGGATTTTAGTGCGGCTCTGTAATCCCTTTGTGAAATGTCACAAAATATGCCTAGTCATGACTTCAAGCTTCTTATGTACTTAGCCCTTTAGACATAATTTCATCAAGATTTGGTAAGCACAAATTAATATATCTTTCAGAATTGAAAGCCAACCGGACTCCAAAGAACCTGGTTCTGAAATTTTTTGGAAATTTTCAAGAGAAGATTCTCAAATTGTCAGAAAAATTAAAAAAAGATTCAAAAATGACCTGAACTCAAGTTACAGAAGGAATTGATAAAGGAATATGGCAAACGAATACATCCAATAACAATTGAGAATTGGACTGCTTCCAAAGTGAGAATCTCTAGAAGAAAACCTCACATAAGCGATGTTAACCGAAAATCGAATTTGGAATATGTCCGGCTTTATAAAAGCAGGAAAGAAGACTTCTGAAGCAATGTTTTATTCTCTGATTAAAGTAAATTTAATATTTTTTCGTTTCGACGGTAGGATCTTCGTATGGCGAAAACCGAACACTGAGCTTGAAAAAACAATTCAGTAGGTACCGTGAAACATGGCGCTGGAGGGGTTTTAAGGTGAGAATTCATAGAATTATTTTTGATTGGCTAAGTCATCGGACGGCTTCTTCAGAAAAAGGAGATTTAGGATGATTTGGTGCCATTTCGGCCCGTAATTTTTACTTCTTCACCCTACGCTCTTGTTTTAATTTTACGAGGAAGTCATCCGATGACATAAGTTAGTCAAAAAAGCCTCCTATGTATTCTCACCTTTAGTTTGGGGTTGTATGACAGCATCAGGTGTGGTAAATATGTATTTATTGATCAGATTATGGACAAGACTCTATATTTTAATATTCTGTAAAAATAATGTAAAGACAAATTTTGAAAACTTGAAACTAGGGTGTGATTACTATTTTGAGTAGGACAACGATTCCAAACACACATCTCCTAATGTTCTTCCCGCACCTTCCGCAATCTCCCGACCTTAAGCCAATAGAAAATCTGTGGGATGAATTAGAAAGACAAGTCAAAAATCACACCATATCTAATAAAAACCAATTCAATATAGGCTCGGAACAAGACGGGGAAAAAGAGCGTAATGTAGACATTGTATAACTACAAATGATCGAATACAGAATAGGGTCTAAAGGAGGTAACCTTATTTCAAAATATCCAGCTTTTCATTTTCTGTAATTTACCTCGGCAAATTCATCTGCAAACAAGTTTCCATCTCTTATATCTGAAAGAAAATTCTGGCTTTCAGACGTTGCAGGGTATCAGCTTTTTGATTCTAGCAATTGTAAAATATTTTCTAAGACGCCATTTATTCACCTTCCTTTCAAGCATAAAAATTTATCTAATTCAGCAAAAACCGCCCACCTTTAAGACCCCCCCCCCGAACTTACAAGTTCTAATTTGGTAATTTCAGATCATTCTTTTGAGATCTACACCGCCATTATCTCCATGAGCCTTAAGCAATCTTCCTTCGTTAGATTTTTTTTAACTACTTCGTCAACACGAAACCCACTTGACGAACTATAGTTTATATAATAATAAATTGTGCTTTTAACTAAAACACACCGCCATTAATTGAACAATTTAGATCGATGGCAAAGATTTCCGAGTCAATATTGCAGTGTATTTTTTTTAATGGCTAATTTAATTACGTGCAACAGCAGCTAAAACAAAATACGAAAACGAAAAACGCAATTGTCCGATCTGATTCCAAAAGCGAATTAGTTTATAATTTGTCCTTGTTTGATATTTAAATTTTAAATAATACAAAATCGTTAAATAGATAAACGACGGGAAAAAATTACTCTGGCACGTAACAATTTCAGCTACGTGTTTAAAATAATTATTATAATAAAATGTAAATATTTAATAAGAAGATTTATTGAGAAGTGATAAATTTTCTTATTTTATGAGCTGTTGAATTAATATTAATGGGAGATGGGAAAATATTGAAAATGGGTCCCCCAAAAACAGGTCTCAATAACGAGAACAAAAAGGGACTAGGAAAAATCGTATCTGTAAAGGTGAGAATACTTTTTTTGACTGACTTAAGTCATCAGCTGCCTTCATCGGAATCGAACAATGAATTGTAGGTTCAAAATCGAACTGATTCAAAATAAAACTCCTTAGCTCCTCTACGAAGAAGCCAGTCAAAAGGCGTTTTATGTATTCTCACCCTAAGAAAATTCTTCCTAATATTCTGCATTGCATTAACTTTTAATGCAAATAATATTTATCCAGGGATCAGTCTCGTTCTGGATAGCAAACCACAAAATGGGACGGATCTCTGAATAAAATTTTGTGAAAATTCTGCATTGCATTAACTTCAAATGCTGAAAATATTTATCCAGGGATCGACCCCGTTCTGGGTAGCAAACCACAAAATGGGACTGATTTCTGTATAAATTTTTGACATTTCAAGTTAATGCATTGCGGAATATGAGGAAGAACGTGTTCACAGATATTATTTTTCTTTGTTCCTTGGAAATCCTCCTAGAGTACTATTTTTGTCGTCTATTAAATTAACTTTAAATGCAAATATGTTAAAAAAATACCGCCGCATATTTATTGTGCTGTAGTCTCCACCATGAGATATATCCCTAAAATTATACAAAATTACATTTATTTGATTACTCTTTTAATGAAGCTTCAAAAATTAAACTTTAAATGCAAATATGTTAAATTATCA